CTAAAACCAATCGTCACGATTCCTGTATTTGCAAATTAAAACACATTTTTCTCTAGGTAAATTCGTTTAAGCGGATCAAAAGATGCAAAGCATGTTGTCCACGGGTCGATAGGAGCAAAGGGTGAAAGTGACTGAGTTATTTGATTGAAGAGCTCCTCCTTTATGGGCCTCTCATGTTTTAACCGCAAACAATAAGTTAACTTCGCAAAATGATTGCCATTATCAAACCTAACTCAAACTTAGCCTTTCAGCTGAATTTGTCAACTAAAATTGAATATCATCTAGCATTAATTCCCTCGTTGAACCCGTTCATATCCGGAAAAAAAAAAAAGATTGCACCGAAGGTCCCTCACCCATAGCCCCTAAGAAAAATAGTATATGTCTTCTACTTACCTTCATTCGGCTTCTGAAGTAGGGGCCCCATAAAGTCATTTAACTTGAAATTTATATGACCATCCTTGAAAACTGCAAGTAGCCCAACTCTCCCATCCCAGGAGACACACACGTGGTGCCAGGTGGAGTCCATAACGTCCATTGACTGCTCGCTGTGCAGGAAGATGGAAGGACACTGTTCATATTGACCTAAAGAAAACTCCCCATTCCTTCCCTATTCGATTTGTTTGAAGACTTATTTGATTATGTTTTAAGTTTTGTTTGATTCAAATGAAAATTTTTAGTTGAGTGGAAAATTTTTAGCTTTTCCTTATTTATAATTTCTCTTCATTCTTTTTTGTTGCAACATTCGGTAAATGGTAATTACAGATAGCATATCACACTCAATACTGACTGACACTATTTCATAAGCTTTGAATGAAGAAACAGAGAGAATGAGGTTCTGCGGTTCTAGGCAGTTAACTTGCCAACGAGTTATAATTTTCAGGCTTCATCTCTGTTAGGGTAATTGCAATGGTTGTGAATCAAATGTAAGACAAGAAGCAACCTTGCACTGATTCCACTTTGATACCTCCTTTCGCTCCCGCTTTGAAGGGAAAATGTGTTGTTTCCACAATAGATTCCAAAAACT